TCGTCGAGTCGGGGGTGCCAAGAATAGAGCCCAGAGGCCTGGGGATGTCGTGGGGGGGGTGGTGGCCAGGTGAGAGCCAGGTGGGGGGTGTGGGAGGTTTTTGGGCGAGAAATCGTAAGGTCGGGGGTCCCAAGAACACAGCCCAGAGGCCTGGGGATGTCGTGGGGGGGTGGTGGCCAGGTGGGGGCCAGGTGGGGGGTATGGGTTGTTTTGGGGCGACAAATCGTTGGGTCGGGGGTCCCAAGAACACAGCCCAGAGGCCTGGGGATGTCGTGGGGAGCGGTGGTGGCCGGGTGGGGGCCAGGTGGGAGGTATGGGTCGTTCTTGGGCGAGAAATCGTAGGGTCGGGGGTCCCAAGAACAGAGCCCAGAGAACTGGGGATGTCGTGGGGTGGTGGTGGCCAGGTGGGGGCCAGGTGGGGGGTATGGGTCGTTTTTGGGCGAGAAATCGTAAGGTCGGGGGTCCCAAGAACACAGCCCAGAGGCCTGGGGATGTCGTGGGGGGGTGGTGGCCAGGTGTGGGCCAGGTGGGGGGTATGGGTTGTTTTGGGGCGACAAATCGTAGAGTCCGGGGTCCCAAGAACAGAGCCCAGAGGCCTGGGGATGTCGTGGGGGGGTGCTGGCCAGGTGGGGGCCACGTGGGGGGTATGGGTCGATTTGGGAGAGAAATCGTAGGGTCGGGGGTCCCAAGAACAGAGCCCAGAGGCCTGGGGATGTCGTGGGGGGGGGGGGGGTAGGGCAGGTAAGGGCAGGTGGCGGGGAGGAGTCGTTTTGGGGAGAAAGAAATCGTAGGGTCGGAGGTCCCAAGACAGAGCCCAGAGGCCTGGGATGTCGTAGGGGGGGTGCTGGGCCAGGTGGGGGCCCACCCAGTCCCACCAGGTGGGGCGTATGGGTCGTTTTTGGGAGAGAAATCGTAGGGTCGAGGGTCCGAAGAACAGAGCCCAGAGGCCTGGGGATGTCGTGGGGGGGGTGGTGGCCAGGTGTGGGCCACGTGGGGGGTATGGGTTGTTTTGGGGCGACAAATCGTAGGGTCCGGGGTCCCAAGAACAGAGCCCAGAGGCCTGGGGATGTCGTGGGGGGGTGGTGGCCAGGTGGGGGCGAGGTGGGGGGTATGGGTTGTTTTGTGGCGACAAATCGTAGGGTCCGGGGTTCCAAGAACAGAGCCCAGAGGCCTGGGAATGTCGTGGGGGGGTGGTGGCTAGGTGTGGGCCAGGTTGGGGGTATGGGTCGTTTTTGGCGCGAGAAAACGTAGGGTCGGGGGTCCCAAGAACAGAGCCCAGAGGCCTGGGGATGTCGTGAGGAGGTGGTGGCCAGGTGGGGGCCAGGTGGGGGGTATGGGTCGTTTTTGGGCGACAAATCGTAGGGCCCGGGGGTCCCAAGAACACAGCCCAGAGGCCTGGGGATGTCGTGGGGGGGTGGTGGCCAGGTGTGAGCCAGGTGGAGGGCAGGTGAGGGGCGTTGGTCGTTTTTGAGCGAGAAGTCGTGGGGTTGGGGGTCCCAAGAACAGAGCCCAGAGGCCTGGGGGGGAGGGGGGCGTTGGTCGTTTTTGGGCGAGAAATCGTGGGGTCGGGGGTCCCAAGAACAGAGCCCAGAGGCGTGGGGGTGTCGGGGCCAGGTGGGGGCCAGGTGGGGAGCGTTGGTCGTTATTGGGCGAGAAATCGTGGCGTCAAGGGTCCCAAGAACAGAGCTCAGAGGCCTGGGAGTGTCGGGGCCAGGTGGGGGCCAGGTGAGGGGGGGGGGGGTGGCGTTGGTCGTTTTTGAGCGAGAACTCGTGGGGTCGGGGTTCCGAAGAACAGAGCCCAGAGGCTTGGGAGTGTCGGGGCCAGGTTGGGCCAGGTGCGGGGCCTTGGTCGTTGTTGGGCGAGAAATCGTGGGGTCGGGGACCCCAAGAACAGAGCCCAGAGGCTTGGGGGTGTCGGGGCCAGGTGGGGGCCAGGTGGGGGGCGTTGGTCGTTTTTGGGCGAGAAATCGTGGGGTGGGGGAGTCCCAAGAACAGAGCCCAGAGCCTTGGGGGTGTCGGGGCCAGGTGGAGGGGGGGGGGGGACGTTGGTCGTTTTTGGGCGAGAAATCGTGGGGTCGGGGGTTCCAAGAACAGAGCCCAGAGGCTTGAGGGTGTCGGGGCCAGGTGGGGCCGGGTGGGGGAGAGAGGGGGCGTGGGTCGTGTTTGGGCGAGACATCGTGGGTTCGGGGGTCGGGGGCGTGGTGGGGAGTGTGGTTGGGGGTATCGGTCGGTTTTGGGCGAGAAGTGGTGTGGTGGGGGAAGGGGGGGCCCAAGAACAAAGGTTCCAAGGGAGAGAGCCAGGAGGGGGGTATCGGTCGGTGGCTGCTTGAAAGGAGAACCTCACGATGAATGGCTCTAGCACACACTCTCCCTCACACGCCTCTGGGGTCGGCGGATAAAATTACCACAGCACACAGACTACCGCCCAACGGTCCACAGTCCAAGCAGAGGGGAATGCAGGTCGTTGTCATCGTCGGGGGTGCGAAAGTAAGTGCGTTTTGCGCATGTCCCTCTTCACTCCTCTCCGTCCCTCATTTCTCCTTTCTCCTCGACCTCAGGAGCGCGAAGGTAATGGAGCGTTCCGATCCCCGCGGCGCGAAATACGATGTCTGCCGGCCCGGGGACCATGATTGCAGGCTGGCTTTCTGCGATACGTGGAGACCGGGCAGGGCAAGACGCGGGCGCGAGCTTCCCCCGGCCTCATCTTCCCTCACCCCCCGGAGCACCAGCGGCCAACCCCGCTCCGCGCGCGCGCGGGTGCGCGGGCCGCAGGGCGGGCCATGGCGTTGCCGCCAGTGGGAGGGGGGGTTGGCGAAAACGGTCCGACACTGGCGAGGGAGGCTACGACCGAGCGCTTGGAGCCAGAAAGCCGGGGGCCATGGCGGCCTCGGGTGCACCCCGCCACCGTGGACCATCGGCGGAGCGCGCGCGCGGCAACGCGGCTGCAGGGCGGATCCTGGATTCCCAGGGCCAGATCCTCTGGCAGGCTCGCCATGAAGCAGAGGCCTCGCGGAGGCAAGGTGTCCCAGAGGCGTGTCACCATTTTCGGGACCACGGGGCCTTTCCCAGGCCTTGGGGGCGTCACAAAAAAATTGGTCCTGGTGAAGCCCCGGGGGTCGAGGATCCGTCTTCCTTTTTCTTTGCCAGGCAGGTGCCATCGACCCCCAAAGCGCCCGTCTGCCTTTCCCATTACACATTACAGAGCGATGGGCCTCTCGCTCCCCGACGTTCAGGTTCCGTCAGCAGCAACCTGCTTCGGCGGCCTCGGGAGAGGGCCAGGAGAAGACAGAGGAGGAGGAGGAGGAGGAGGAGGAGGAGGAGGAGGACGACGACGGCGAGGCAGAGGAGGACCAGGGCGAGGAGAAAGAGGAGGACGATGACGAGGACTAGGGGGAGGAGGAAGACCGCGCGGATTACTGACGGGGCATGGGCAGCGCAGCGAGTTGAAGGTTGGGCACGTAAGGCGTGGTAGCGCCGATGGTGAGAGCACGGGCACGGGATCGCTAACAGCGGGGGAGGGTTGGGTCAAGAGGATCATTTGCAGGAAGTCTGAGGCGGGGCTAGTGCAAAGGA